AAGATTTGTACTAAAGTTTTAGCTACTAGGTTGGTTAATCTACTGCCTAAAATTATATCTGAGGAGCAAGCTGGTTTTGTCAAGAATAGGGACATTTCAGATCAGATTATGATTGCCCAGGAGTTAATACATTCCATTGATAAGAATGTTAGAGGATCTAATATGGTTATCAAGCTGGACATGGCTAAGGCTTTTGACAAACTCTCTTGGGACTATCTGTTTGATGTTCTAAATAGGTTTGGGTTTTGTGCTAAATTCATTTCCCTCATTAGGGCTAATCTACAATCCACCTACTTATCTATTCTTATCAATGGAAGCCCTCAAGGTTTTTTCCAACCTAAGAGGGGGTAAAGCAGGGGGACCCTTTATCTCCTTTTTTATTCATTATAGCATCTGAAGGCTTTAGTAGAGGTTTGAAAGTCAGAATGGAGCAAGGGATTATCAAACCATATTGGATTGGTAATCAAGGTTATTCTATTAGTCATCTTGGTTTTGCTGATGACTTACTCATTTTCACTAATGGTGATTCTAGATCTTTGGTGAGATTCACTAAATTTGTTAAAGACTATCAGGATGCCTCTGGCCAGACTGTTAACCTGGACAAAAGTTCCTTTGTTTGTGGGAAAAAAGCAACTTACAGGAGTTCTGTGATTCAACATATTCTGGGGATGAAAAAATCCAACCTCCCTATGAAATATCTGGGTGCTCACCTGCATAAAGGTATGAATAAGTTCCATTACTGATCCCAGTTACTTAAACATTTTGATTCTAAATTATCTTCATGGAAGCAAAAGAATCTGACTCAGGGAGGCAGGCTTATTCTCATAAAACATGTCCTTAGCACAATCCCCAACCACATACTTGCCACTGATAAACTGCCTAGGAAAGTTATTTCTACTCTTAATAAGAAAATGGCTAGTTTTTTCTGGGGTTCAAATGCTAACAGAGATAAGTTCCATTGGGCTAGATGGTCTAAACTTTGCTATCCAGCTGAGGAAGGTGGCTTAGGAATTCGGGCTCTATCTGATGTTGAAAAAGCATTTACTTTAAAATTATGGTGGAAGTGGAATACCAACAATACTCTTTGGTGTAAACTTATTAGAGCTAGATACCCTAGAGATGGGAATATGCAGCCTAAGGTAATTGATTCTACTCTATGGAGGAGAATATGTGGGATACATGACACGGCTACTTACCTTTGCTCTACAAGTGAGTCAGGCAATATTACTTGGGACCCAGGTATCAATGGAATTTTCTCCTTTGCTTTTGCTTACAATGAAATAAGAGACCATAGATCAACCACTTTTACTGATAAGCATATTTGGAATAAACATCAACATATGACTATCAAGGTATTTATGTGGAAGCTTGTAAATTCTTACTTACCCTTCCCAGAAAATCTTCACAAATTTCAGTTAGTCTTACATCCATCCAAATGCCCTTTTTGTAAAAAACATGCTGATGGTACTGATCACATTATGTTTGGATGCTCCTATACAAAAACAATCTGGTTCTATTTTATGGGGGTTTTTGATATTGCTTTTCCAAGAACAAATTCTCTGAGACAGGTGTTAATTTCTTGGTGGATTGAGGCGGGTTCTAAGAAATTATCTGATATCTTTCGACACAACCTTCCGGGCATCATTTGTTGGCATGTATGGAAAATTTACTCTTCCTACATTTGGGGTTCGGGCTCTATTCCTCCTACCGCACACTTGATTACTCAAATCAAATGCTATACTCAAAGATGGACTCAGAATTTGGTCAAAATCAAGCCTAGAAATATTGATGATTTTCTAACTCAGGAGAAATTGATTTTGAAAAATTTTAAATTCAGATCATCTGGTTTCCACATTATTAGATGGAGAAGACCTACAAAAACTTTTAAGCTTAATATTGATGCATCGTTCATACCTGGTTTGGCGAGAGGTGGTGCTATACTGCGGAATAGATCGGGGGAGATGATATGGGCTTTGAGCTTCCATATCCAAGCATATTCCAGCGAGGAAGCTGAACTTAACGCCTTGATGCTCGCTACTGAGATGGCGTTGACGGATGGCTTTGTTGACACTCAGGTAGAAACCGACGCCCTAAACTCTCTTGCTCTGCTTATGGACGAATCAGGAAGTCACACTGGGCTTAGTGAATTTAGAAGGAAAGTGTTTACGAATGGGTTCTCTTTCGGACATGTTCGTCGTGAAGGAAATGGGCCAGCCCACAGGTTAGCTGCGTATGATATTGGCGAAGCCCAAATTATTAAATTCGATCGGGTTGGGGTTTTACCCACTTCTGTGAAAGCTAGTTACTACTCTGATCTTTTTGGATTTCCGTACTTTAGATGCTGATTGTATTTACTATTGGGTCAGGCCTAGCCCCCCCATTAGTATTTTTTACTTCTGTTTTTCATGTACTTTCGGGAAGGTTTTGGCCTAGTCCCCCTTCGTTTTTTTGTATCCTCAGCATTAATAATACTTCGGTAAATGTCCCCCGGCATTTACCCCACTGATTTTGGTGGTTGACCTTCCGGGGTAAAAAAAATCTCATACTTACTTTTCTAAATTTACATCATTTTTTACTTAAATTTTTTTGGGAATTTTTTACTTACATTTTTAATAATAGTTGTTGGTATATTCTAACAATATACCTACGGATACAATTTTAATATAAGAAATGCGTAACATATACCAACAATATAAACTAGTCGTTGGAATTGATATTGTAATAACCAACGGAAAAGATTAACCATTGGTATAGCTATCCTATACCAACAATAAATGACGGTTTGTATAAATTACTGTTGGTAAATGGTAAATTGTTTGTAGTGAAAGGGAGTGATTGCGCTGACAAATTAATTTGTGGTGCCACAAAATTATTATCTTTTGTTGGAGTATGGGGCTCATATGAATGGGGACTGGTGTAATCAATCATGTCAAGGCAAGTACCTTGTTAAGTATGTCGACAAAGGGTATGTTTGTGTTATTACAAGATTTTATCAAATTAAGAGCGCACATAAACCTAATCACATTTTGATGAAATAAAAATTTACTGTGGTTGTAGATATACATGCCCCTACTGTGAGGTAGCATAAACAATTCTTGGATTTGAGATTCAATATACATTTCCTCTAGTTGAGAACTAAGTTTGCATTTATCTGATGAATTGTAAAAGAAGTATGTTTAAAATATATTTTAGAGTTTTTGTCACTTTTAGTTCTCCGACTATTATGTCACTGACACGTTTGGTACTCGACATTGATTTTTTCCACTTTTAGTGTTTCAACTATTGTACGAAAGACACTTTTGGTACCCGTCTTTGAAATTTTCCATATTTAGTCCTTCGACTTTTGGTCATTCTACTACAATAATAATGACATTTTGAGTCCTCCACTTATTGTGTCAAAATCATAGTGGGAAGACTAAAAGTGTCTACTTAATATTACTCTTGAGACTAAATGTGGGAAACTTTAAAGTCGAGGGCTAAAAATGAAAAAATTAAAAGTCGAGTACAAAAAATGTTACAGACACAATAGCCGGGGGACCAAAAGTGATAAAGAGTCATATATTTTATCAATTAATAGAGAAAAAGTTATATAAAAATAGCAAAAATCATCATCTTCTACAATCCTAGTCACGAGGAAGTAATTTTAAATTACTTATTTTGATTATTACATAATCCAGAATGCAAAATTAAAAATAATGAGTTCATTTGATAACACTAAGTGTGTGTTTTGACAAGGAAAGCTGAAATTAGATTGAGTTGATTGTTTGATTTAGATTTGGTTGACAAGATTGATGAAATAATAAATGTTTTCATATAAGTAAGATAAAATCGAATAAAATGATAGTAAAGTTGGACATAAATTTGTGTTAAATTAAAGTGTTGAATTGAAATGTTACAATTAGTAATGTTTCAAATCGATCAGCTAATTAATTTAGGTTCAATCAAGATTAGCCACTCATTAAAAAAAGACTACATGTCGACAATCAATTATCTATATTAATCAAATTTCACCTTATTTTGAGCTTATCCAAACGTAACAAAAAGTTGATAAATTATGTGAGTATGCTGAAATTAATGAATTCCGGTTGAAGTTGCTACGGTGTTTCAATTGAACGAATCTATTGAATTATAAAAATATTATATTTAAAATACATTTCATATTTTATTAACAAAACAAAGAAAAAAATATATAAAAATATTTAAAATAATATAATACAGTAAATTCAATCAAAAAATAAATTATATATTTTGATTATTTTAAAATTCAGCATGTCAATTATAAAATTAGGTTTCAATTAAAAATTGACTAATAAAATTGATAAACTAAAAGAGATTTATCAAATGGACTATGTATTTAATAAAGAAATTGATCCATTTAATAAAGGTAGATTGTATGGTACTAGGGATGGACTCGGGCCGGGTGGCCCGACCCGGAACCGGCCTGGGACCGGTACTGTTCCGGCCCGGCCTGACCCGGTGGCCCGGTCAGTGACCGGTCCGGGTAGGCCCGGCCCGTGGGTTTTCCGGTCCGGGCTCGGGTCACCCAAAACAAGGCCCGACCCGGCCGGGCCCGGGCCCGGTTCGGGCCAAAAACTACTTTTTTTTCTTTTTTTTCAAATTTTTTTAAATTTTCGGGTTGGGCTGGGTATTTTGGGCCATTTGGGGTGGTTTGGGGGGTTGTGGGTGGGAGGGGGTTAATTAGGAAGAGGAAAACAAAAAAAATATATAATGGGCCCGGTCCGGCCCGGACCCGGACCGGACCCGGTGGTTACCCGGGCCGGTCCCGGGTCCACCATTTCTGACCCGCCGGCCCGCCCGGGCCTAGGCCCGCCCGGACCCGAGTCCATCCCTATATGGTACCCTTAAGGTACCATACATTTATCCACATGAACCAATTAGAATGTTGAAGTTTAATTATTTAAATTTAAATTAAAATTGATATAATGATTTGGACCAATCAAGTGAATGATAGGTACGATACCCCAATTTTTAGGTGGGTACCAGAGTTGTCGCCTTCGATAAAACATGAATATTTACATATATTGTAGCCTTGTAGGGACACCGATAGCATTACCCGAGAAAGAGTAACAAAGAAGCCAGGAACCGACCACACCCGGCAATGGCCGTTAAATGTAGTAAACCACCGAAGCTCCGCGACCCCACCACTACGCAACCACCGCTGACCGCTGTACCGCCTATCAGCTGATCACCCCACTAAGCTGACTTTGTCGGTTCTCTGCTCACGTGGCCAAATCTGCCCCATTGATTTCCTCAGTACACAAAATCCTTTCGCAGTTTCACTATCCCCCTTCTAGTTTATTAATTTCAGCGCTCAGTCTTAAAGTGGAAGCAAAAATTGTTTATTAATGGAGTCTCCATCGATAGAACATTCACTTTTCTACAGTCTATGAATATATATTGCACATACATATGTATCTATTGATTTAGCTTGAGGCTCACGCCATAGAAGCACTTTGGTTTTGAATTCCAGAAAGTATGTCTCGGGTCAACGAGTCCAGGCCGGCGTGGGGAGAGGACTTTGCCGGTGTAGCTGGTGATGCCGGAGTACGGTACCAACCTGTTTACCCTGCTGCCACCGCAGGGATGAGTGGAGGGCGGGTAAGGGCACCGGCGGCTCCTAGTGGCAGTGGCGGGGAGCATATGAGATTCCACGCGGTGGAGTTCGCGCGGGGATTTGCCGAGATGAGTGTCGAGTTCGGGAAGGGAGTGAAGGATGTCGTGATGCAGACGGTCGTGTCTGATGACTCTATGATCGGGAAGAAGCTTGGAGGACCGTGCCAGAAAATTTCCAGAAAACTGAGATTTCTGAACGACTATTTGCCGGAAGATCGCGATCCAGTTCATTCGTGGAGTGTGATTTTCTTCGTCGCAATAATAGCTTTTGCAGGTACTCCTATTGTTCTTATTGCTCTGAAATTTCAAGTCTACTTAAATAGGAGACTTGAAATTGACTACACTTTCCTCTTGAAGTGGTCTTTCCTAAAATATTCTCTATATTCCTGCAAATGGTACTCGTTGGAGCTCATTATATTGTTCATTACTTCAATAAAAGAATGTATGGAAATTTTACATCTTCAACGAGTTTCTCTGCTAGCTTCATTAATTGCCGATGCAATAATTCTTCTCAGTATGATTGTCAGTTTAGTCCTTAAGAAGTGCATATATTTACATTTTGGTCCAGGGATACCTGGCAAACTTGATTCACGGTGATTGTATTGAACTACTTGTGGTTGACAATACCCCAACCAAATTTAATATTTCTCTAACATCATCAGAAGCGCTTGATTAGTTTAAGTGCATCACCTTAGGTTAAGTAGAACTTGTACTACTTAAGTTAGTTTTCAGAGTGGTTTTGACAATAAACTACATTAAGTAGGGCCAAAACACATTTCTTCAAATAGGACCAGTATTGTTTTCAAATCTAAGGCTTGATGCCCATCTGTAATCAGTGGTATTTGACTTAGGGAAAGTTCCCGAAATAGGACTAAAACATTTTCAAAATTCCAAAATAGGGCTGTCATGTTTTTTATTCCCAAAATAGGACTAATTACTCTATTTGACTGCATTATCTTATGTAGCTAGCTATAAATACACACTCTAGAACTTATTTTTGACTGACATCACGAGAAATGTTACTCTCCATTGTCTTGTAAATTTATTTCATTTGATTTTTAAAAACACTCTTTTAAATACATATGTACATGATTCAAAATATTCACCTGTTTCATCCATTGTGGTCACAATCTCAGAAAAAGCGAGCATGTTAAGATTGAATAAAATGGAAGAATGTAAAGTACTGTTAGATATGTGCTCGAAACCTAGAAGTCTGATGTTCATTAGTTAATTTCTGCTCTTACATATCTGTGTGACTTAATCTCCGAGCCATGGTAAGACATATGTGAAGGATGCATGCGAACAAAATGGATTTAACTTGTCATGGATTTAACCAATTGTGATTTGGATTAGCGTATATGCAACCGTTTTCTGTGAAGCAGATTGATTAATAACATGTGCGCAAGATGTTTCCTCGATAATAATTCTTGTTAAAAGTATTTTGTTGTTCTTCAACAGTAATTAATTCATGAAATCAACACATTAAATGCATCATCCTTTCCTGTACACGTGTATTCTCTCCAGCGCTGACAGTAAGTGATGATGTGGATACTCGATCGGCTTCAGTAAAGAAAGTTAATAAACACCCTCCTGGTGCTAGTCGAGTTTTGCTCCCGGATGGTAGATATTTAGCTTATCAAGAACAAGGTGTTCCGGCTGATCAAGCCAGATTCTCTTTGGTTTCTGCACATTCATTTCTTTCGTCTAGGCTTGCAGGTATATATAATCGCTTTTTAACATCTCTACCGATGTGGTTATTCATCATTTATTAATTGTACATATTACCTATATGTGTTAATTGTGTTTCTCTACCAAATAGGAATACCTGGCATCAAGGTTTCATTACTTCATCAATTTGGTGTTCGCTTGGTGACATATGACCTTCCTGGGTTTGGACAAAGTGATCCTCATCCCAATAGGAACCTCGAGTCATCAGCAATGGATATGCTACACTTGTCATATGCTGTGAATATAACTGACAAATTCTGGGTGGTAGGATTCTCTAGTGGAAGTATGCATGCCTGGGCTATCCTTCGATATATTCCCGATAGAGTCGCTGGTATGTTATTGAGCATGTTTGGTATAGGTTCTTTTTATCTCAAGTGTTTTATCATTTAAGCATTTAATGTTTTCCTTTTAGTAGCAGCAATCTGATCCTTGCATAGATAACTAAAAGTTTTTTCACTAGTAGAAGACAGTGTTTGTGTTTGCTTGTGCTTTTAAGAAGTGAATTACTCTAGTGATTATAGAGAAAATATTTTTGGTAAAAGTTGGTAGTGTTTGAAAACTAGAAGTGATTTTAAAAAGTGGAAGTTGGAGTGTTTGGTAAAAAAAATGTAATTTGTGGTGTAATATTCGAGTAAAAATGTTACAAAAAACAGTTTTTTGCACTCCCCCCTTGCTTTCTGGTTCAAAGTCTTAAATTAAGCACAAGCGCCTACTTGAAACACCACTTTTAGCTTTTCAAATAAAATGCACAAAAGTGCTTCCAAGAACCATTGGGAAACACTTCTGAAGCACTTCACCATTTTCTTGTCATACACGTGTTTTTTAGGTAAAAGCACTTCTTTTTAAAAGATCTTATTCCTTGAAAAAAGTTATCCTAAACTCACTCGTAGTCTTTACTTGTGCATTGTGTTCAACATGAAAATCCTATATTTGCATTATACATAAAAAATGCATAAACGTTGAAGAAACTGGCAAATTATGATTTGTGAAATGTACTTTGGTAGATGATTATGCTTTGCATTTTAGCTGATATTTGGTCTTCTTTTTACGTAAAGTGAGTGAATCCCAATGTACAAATAAAAAAATTACTGGGAGCTGGTGGCTTGCATAAGTTACTTTGTTACTCAAAATATGTTACTTTCATTCTGTTTCGTAGTAATATGAAATGTATGAATCAGATTCTGATATGCTCTTCATTTGGTCTACTTACTGATCTGATTGGCAGGTGCATTCATGGTTGCTCCCATGATCAATCCATATGAACCTAGTATGACAAAGCAGGAGAGACATAGCATGTGGAAGAAATGGACAACTTGGAAGAAATTTATGTATATACTGGCTCACAAGTTTCCCAGTCTACTCCCTTTTTTCTATCGCAGAGCCTTCCTGTCTGGTTTTCATGGTCCGATAGATGAACGGCTCTCATTGTCACTTGGAACAAGGGTAAATCAGTCAATACTTCACTGCTATGATATACTATTATTACGCATGATATCTTAGCTTCACCTTTTGTAGATTATTAGCTTTGAAATCCTTTGTTTGACGGAAAATATTTTCCTGAAAAATATTTTCTGAATTTTCCCTTTTCAAAGGTGGAAAGCATTTTTTGAACCAAAATAGCTTCCTTCATTCTTTGCATTTCTTTAGAAAGTGACTTCCTCTTTTGAAAAGACGGTCATTTCACCGATCCAGATTATTTGTATTGGTTTATAGGTTAAGCATTATATTATGCACAAAAAAAATCAGGGTTACATTCTTTTTCTAACAATCAAAAGGAGAGTTGATGTTGTAAAGTAAAAGGAATTCAGGCAATATATAAATGCTGATTGATATATTATGCGGTTTTCTTTACATGTGAATGAGAGTCCAATGCTAATGCACTTATTCCTTTTGATTCATTTATCCATTTATTGATCACAATGATGAATTCTGTAGGATAGAGCTTTGATAGAGAGCCCATTGTTTGAAACGTTCTGGCAGAGAGATGTTGAAGAATCCATCCGACAGAGGAAGGTAAGACCTCTTGTTGAGGAAGCTGTCTTACAGGTGTCAGACTGGGGCTTCAGCCTTGTGGATCTCAAAATAAAGAGAAAGAACCTGGGGAAGGGCGTACTTAAGTGGATTAAATCTTTGTATGGTCAACCAGAAGAAAGTTTGAGTGGATTTCTTGGCCCAATACATATATGGCAGGTGAGTGATATCTGTGTTCGAAAATATCTTTTCAAACATTTCATCAAATATGCTTTCTTGTGTTTCTTCAACTCCTTTGCTCAAGCATGAAATTTAAGAAGTTTCCTATGTGGCTTGAGTCAAAATCCAATCCCGAGCATCTACTATGATGTACGAAAAGAGTATCTGTTAATGACCGACCAGTTTCTCTGTCATGGTATATAGATAATCTGTTAATGGATATCCTAAACAATGCATTTATAAGTGTTTTTAGACGTTTCAGGCTTTCAGCTACCATTGAATAGCTAATTTTACCAACCTTCCATGTACAATCCTCTAAGAAAATCTGGTAACTGATAACACAATCACTATGCTAATCCAATTGCTATCTGTGGATTGCCAACCAAGGTCATTAGCTTTTTACACTTCTGAACTAACATCCAATAATGTGTTCACATTATATGTATTGATACTAGTAAGCAATTTCGTATTAAGCTGTAGGTTTTAAGCACACACACACACATTCATGATTATTTGTAGCATATCTTTGAGACCTTTCTCATTATCCCGCATGTTTCATTTTATCCAACTCGGCTAGGGAATGGAAGACATGGTGGTGCCTCCATCAACAGGTTACTATTTGCGGCGAGTTCTGCCTGATGCAATGGTGCATACAGTCCTTTATGAGGGTCATTTCACTTATTTCTACTTCTGTGATGAATGCCATAGACAGATATTTAGCACCGTCTTTGGAGAACCTCAAGGCCCTCTCATCCCGGAAGTAGTCCAAACTCCCATCATCAAAGAAGAAATTCCCCCGATCAAAGATGATGACGAAGAGACGGGGGATGTAGTTCTTGGAGAAATAACCTCAGATGAAGATATTGTTGTTTCTAATCCAGTATGACCATTTTGGTACAACAGTTTTACAGATTTACAATATACCAACCAATTAGTAAGAGACATGTAGAAGGCAACAACAGCACATAAAAAATTATATGTATATTACTCCGTATCATATATTTTCTTTAAATACAGGAGATCATGATTGCCATTAGAAGAGAAAGGGTCCGATTCTATCATGGGTTCTGAGGCTTTCATGATCAATTGCTTGCTTTGTTGGCACCGACGACCTTACATCTCAATCAAGCGTTTCTGGTATCACACATTTTTTTACTTAGTTTTGTATCGATTTTCAAGTTAGCAGCGGCTAAAGTGTCAACTCAACAACTGATCTTGCGGCGGATTTGTGTGCAATATCTTTTTTGCATCTAAAATTGTTTTTCTTTGTGATTTTTCGATTCCATGAAGTTAGTGGATTGATTCTCAGTAGCTCCCTTGCATCTGCTCTACCAAAAGATATATGTGTGATGGAGCAATGAGAAAAGTACTTCAATTCAATTTTATGTTGTATTATTAGAAAAATGGATGACACCCCCCATTACTGAGCCCCCAAAACTGACCGACAGTTATTATTAGATGGTCTAGTAAATGGGGTGAGAGGTTACAAGTTCATCCTATACATTCTATAAAAGGGTAAGAGGTTACCGGTGGGCGTAGCTCAACTGGTAGCAAGGGAGTGCTACAAGGGTTAGGTCCCGAGTTCGAATCCCGGCAACTGCGATGAAGGGTTACTATGCTAAAAATGCATAGGGCCTCTACAAGTACCGGGGACAGAGCCCACTCTCTATCTGTCAGATTGGGATTATAGTCTAATTTACATCCTCCCAACGTACCGTCCAGTCGGGGTTGGAGGTCCTCAGGGATGGGGTGTCATCCTTTTTTTATAAAAGGGTGAGAGGTTACAAGTTCATCTTATTCATCCTATCATTAATTATTAAAAATAATACATTTATAACATCACAATTATCAATACTAACTACATTATTATATATACCTATTAAAATTATTTCTCAAACATACTCAAAGTACTTTATTTAATTATTGCCTAAATAACTGTGCCGTTTTGCCATGAGAACCTTCCGGCGGGATGAAGATGGTACTAATTTAGAACCAATTTCTAAAAATGTGACCACTTTTACAAAAGGACAAAAATGTGACCAAACAGGTCATATATCTGGAAAAACATAGTTCTGTCAGATTTTTATGTCATTGTTAGTTTTTTATGTCACGGGTTTTATGTCACTTTTGAATGTCACTGCTGGTTTTCATGTCACTTTTATATGCCACTTTCATCGTCAAATGTGTCACTGTGCTGTTAACTATGTCATTGTGACGTCGTCAAACGTGTCACTGTACCGTTAAACATCTTCGTCCCAACTTCTGGCCACTGTGACAACTCCATCTGACATCTCTCATGTCGGTCACCGCTGCCGGCCACAGTGACACCTCCACAGTGACATTTCCACCGCCGGTGTCATTGTCGCCGCCAGTGTCACTATGATTGTCGGAAACATAAATTTCAACCAAATTTAGCCGCCACCCCAACAACAACACCACTGCTGCCTCCCCAACCTCACACCCGCACTCAGCCCCTGCACACCAGCCACCTCCCCAGCTTACCTAGCACTCTCCTCAGTCCGTCAGCCCCCTCCCCAGCCTACTAGACCCCTCCCCAACCCTCACCCCCTCCACAGTTGCTGCCAAACACCATACCCCGCTCTGTGACAGTCGCCCCACAACCGCACCACCGCTTCCTGTCTCACGACACACTTATATGTAGGGCATGCTAGTTTGTAAATTGTAACACCCAATTAAAATCTATACACTAATCAATTAACAATATAATAATTGTTCATAGAATTGAAGACCAGTAAGGCAAGAAGTGGGTGTTGAATTACTGTTGACAGAAGAAAGGTGATTTTAACAGCTTCAGCCACCAGTCCACCAAAAGAAAGGTGATTAAGACCTTATGTGTATCAGAATATATTATATTAATTATAATAAAGTTTATTGAAATAATATTATAAACGGTTCGGTCTGGATACTCATTTTTCCAAATTTTAGTAACCGTTCGGTTCCTAAGTTTTTAAAGACCTGTTCCACCCTGACCGTTTGTGTTTTTTAAAATTAGGACCCGCATAGTCAAAGATGAGGCTATGCAAACTGTGCAAAATGCACAGGGCCTCAAAATATTTTAGGCTTATTTTTATAAATATATTTAGTACATATAAAGTAATTATTAAGTGCTTCGTACTCCCTCCGTCCCAAATTGTTTTGCAAAGCCAACATTTTTTGGTAAACCATTAATAAAAGTCAATGCTTCCTATCGATAATTGATTCAATTTTTAATAATTAAAATTTACATACTCAAAAACTACATTAAAATCTATTTGAGATTGCAAATTCCAAACTAGAATATAATTAAAAATTGGCATCCTAATAAAGCAAATAAAATGAAACTGTTTAACCAAGGAAAGTCAAATTTGCAAATCAATTTGGAACGAAGGTACTATATATATATATATATATATATATATATATATATATATATATATATATATATATATATATATATATATATATATATATATATATATAGGGCGGTTCTATTACAGCTACAAAATTTCTAATTACAGCAACACAATTAAATTAAAGTACCCACTTTGAATTGGATCGGATTTTTAGGAAAGTTATAAAATGTTTTGACTTTCCCAAAGTGCCCCTAAAGTGAAAGTAAAGGAAAAGGAGAAAGGAATTGCGGCGGGGGGGCGGGGAAAAAAATTACTGTTCAAAATGACAACTTTACACTGTTCATACCGTTCATACAAACAGTACCCACCCTTATACACCCTTCGTACAACACCCCTTTCTCCCCTAAAGTTCCCTCCTTTTTTTGGGAAAGCTTCTAAATTAACCCTATCTATAAATACGCATTCCAAAAGTTCCCTCCCTCACAAAAAATCACTACACACTATCACACACTTCACGCAACATTTATGACCGCAAACAACAGTGGTGTCGAGACTGCTTCTTCCCCCCACTGCAGCTTCCATTAATGAAGAGCTATCTTCAAGTGCAATGAATGCTTCTTCCTCACCAACTGCCATAAATGAAGCCCTGCACACACCAACAAATGGCCAAAATCTCAAATATCAAAGCAAAAAGGCTACAAAACAGTGAACGAGAGAGTATAGTTGATGAAATTCTAATCAGTGCAAGAAGAACAACTTCTGGGGAGGTGATAGCTCAGCGTGGTGTTCTAAATCAGCTTGCCACAAAATATTCAGTGACCAAAAAAAGTATTTTCAGGATCTGGAGCAAAGCTAAAGAGCATATTGAAAAGGGGGCAGCAATAGATGTCAAAACCAAGTGGATGGGAAACTCATGCAGAAAAAGAGTGTTGTTTGATGTTACCAACATTTCACAAATCCCACTGCACAAAAGGACTAACATAAGGGCACTTGCTTCGGCTAGTTCAGTTTCAAAGTCAAGTATTCACAGATTGGTTCAGAGAGGTGTGCTTAGAAGCCATACAAATGCTATTAAGCCTTTGCTAAGTGATGCAAATAAAATTCACAGATTGATGTTCTGTTCCAGACAAATAGACAAATCAATTCCATGAAATCCAGCATTTAAAAATTTCCATAATGTCATACACATTGATGAGAAATGGTTTTTCTTGTCAAAAACATCTCAAAGATACTACATGGCACATGAAGAAATGGATCCACATAGGATATGCAAGTCTAAAAGATTCATAACCAAGGTCATGTCACTGGGAGCAGTGGGGAGGCCTTTGTTTACAGACAATGGGGAAGTAATATGGGATGGTAAAATAGGCATTTTCTCATTCATTGAGAAAGTGGCTGCTAAAAGGAAAAGCAAGAACAGGGATGCAGGGGTAATGGAAATCAAACATGTACTCAGCATAACAAAATCAGTGTTTAAGGACATGCTTATCAACACTGTGTTGCCTAGCATCAAGGCAAAATGGCCTGAACAGTTAAGTAAGGACATTGTAATCCAACAAGATAATGCAAGGCCACACATCCTAGATTCAGACCCAGACTTTATGGCTGTCTCAAAAGAAGATGAGTTTAATATTACCCCAACTAACCAGTCCCCCTAATTCTCCTGATCTTAACATACTAGATCTTGGGTTCTTTAGGGCAATTCAGTCTCTAAAAGACCAACAAGCACCTAAGAATGTGGATGAACTGTTGAAGGCAGTAGATGAAGCATTCTACCAGCTTTCACCCACAACTCTCAACAAGGTTTGGTTAAGCTACCAATATGTGATGTTAGAGATTATGAAAGTGGAGGCGGGGAACAAGTACAAGCTGCCACACCATGCAAAGGACAGAATGATGACAAAAGGCAGACTACCAACAAGCATAGAGGTTGATGTGGAGTTACTGGAAGCCATAAAAGCTGTTTTATCCCAACAACAGGCTACTAATGACCAGTTCATCCATGAAGATGATGGTGACTAAGTCATCTTCGCTAATAAACTCAATCTATTTGTTGTGAAGGCATGTTTTTTGTATTTTTGTAAATGCCTTTTTTGTCATATTGTAGAGGCCTATGTTTTTGTAATTTTGTGGAGGCCTAAGAAATTTGGAATATTTAGAGGCCTATACTGTTGTAGCATAACAGACACCTTTCTCAAGCTTTATGGCTCTCTTATTCAGTATAGCAGCCTCACACAAATCAATGCTCAGACTATATTGTCATCATAGCAGCCTCACACAAAACAATGCTCAGACCAATAAGATCATCATAGCAGCCTCATAGACACCAACAAAGCTCACACCAATTAGGTCATTCTAACAGCCTCATAGCAACCAACAAAGCTCAGACCAAATAAGGTCATCATAGCAGCATTATAACAACCAACAAAGCTCAGACCAATAAGGTCATCATAGCAGCCTCAAACCAACCAACAAAGTTCAGACCAAAAAAGTCATCATAGCAGCCTAACATAACCCTTACTCAGACCATTTGGTCACACAAATATCAGTACCAATGAATGTCAGTCATACAAGCATAGATAGATACCAACCATAATCATCATAGAAGCCTCACATAACCCTTACCATTCAATCATACAAGCATACATAAATACCAACCAACAATGCTCAGACCATATATGCATCATAACAAGGAGATTTCAGTAGATAAGAACACCGTAAAATCATCATTGTTGCCCCCATAATCAAACACATCTACACACACAACGTACATGTAACACAAACCAGACAACAATTTCCAAACCAATACCAACATACAGATTTGCAATGGAAAACAAATAAAGAAACAAACTCCCCTGTTAGACGTCAACATCCCACATCCTCGATTCCCAGCCGGGTAGGATGAGTTTTAAGAAGTCTTCTAGACCAGGATAATGAATGTACTGCATTCGAACATCCTTCCTTAATTTAGCCCAAGCATCACTATCCGGAAGATGTATGGCGTATTGATAATGAAACACAGGTGGATGATGTGTGGTTATCAATGGAGTTGACCATTA